CCCCCCCCCCCCCGTCCCAAACAAACCCCAGATGGCAACTCAACTCCTTTGCCGTCCCCTCCACAGATTTCACCGCAACCTCCGTCAATTCCCCTGTCTCAGTCCCGTCTGGAGACTCCAATTCGGATCCCTAGGGCTGGCTCCTTCCCACCATCACTCACCCCCCTCCTCACTCCTACTCCTCCCCTCCCCTGCCCAACGCATGCTGCCTCAGCCCTTGGGGACCTCAGGAGAGCCCTCACTTCACGCTCCACATCCTGGCCAGAGGCTATTTCAGCCCCGGCTCCCAGGAGACTGGGAGGGCACTTCAGGGAGGTGAGGAGGGGGTGACTGGAGCCCCCGCCTTCTGGAAACGGATGGGCAGAAATAGCGCTGGCCAGGAAACAAGTTTCTCTGCCAGGGAGGAAGTGGAGGGGGGTGGAGGTGTCGGGGTAACCCTGGGCCACCAGGACCCTCCCTTGGCCTTCTCTGGGACGCCTCCCCCCCCATGGGGGTGTCTCCTGGGGGAATCGGAACTCAGAGTGCCGGATCACCCCCCATGGCCATCCCACCCCCACAAAAGACCCCATCTCTGGGCTTGCTGTCCTCTCCCCACCTCTTAGCCTCCCCCCTGCCTCCTGATCCATTGCTTCTCCACCCTCTCCCCCTACCTGGCTCAGACTGGCCTCCCCCCAGCCCTCCCATTCCCTGGATCCCTTTCTCCAGCTCTGAGGTGCTTTTCCTGTCCATGGCCCCCCAATATCCTGCCCCCTTCCCCCAAATCCTCACCCACTCCCCAACACCCTGCCCCGGCCCCTCTCCCCCCTGCCTCAATCACTTACCCCCACTTCCTCTGACTTCTCCCCATCCTGCACCTCTCTACCGGCGCCCCATCCCTGGCCCGACACCCTTCGCACATTCCCCAACCCCCTTCTCCAGGACCGTCCCGGACTCCTTTCTCTGCCCCACGCCCCCCCCCCCCCGCGGACTTGTCCTCCCCCCCTGACCTCCCGCTCTGCCCCCACAGTGCTGGAGATCCTGAGCCTGATCCAGCAGCGCGAGCTCGCGCGAGCCGACGAGCACATCTTGGAGCTGGAGGCCGAGGAGCTGGCGACGTCGGGGGGCGGCGCGCCGGGACCGCCCAGGGCCGAGGGCGCGGGCGCGGGCCGCCGGGCGCGGGACGTGGCGCTGCTGTACGAGGCCCTGCAGCGCGAGCTGTGGGCGCTGGTGCGCGAGACGCTGGCGGGCCCCGGGCCGGGCGCGGGCGCCGGGCCGGGCGCCGTGGCGCAGCTGGGCCAGGTGCTGCTGCAGGAGGAGGCCGCCGACGGGCGCCGGGGGCCCGGGGCCGCGCGCAAGCTGCGCGCCCGCTGGGCCGAGGCGGTGGCGCGCGCGGCGCGGGAGCGCCTGGAGGCGGCGGCGCCCGGGGGCCCCGGGGGCCTGGCGGGGCAGCTGGAGGCGCTGCGGGCGCGGCTGCTGGAGGACATGGGCACGGTGCGGGGCCGCCTGGCGCCCGCCTACCCCGCCGGCCTGGGCGCCTTCGGCGTCTACCTGCGCGCCTACCACGGCGCGCTGGCCGACTGGCTGGGGGCCGCCGCCCGCCGGAGGCTGCCGCTGGCCGACCGCTACGCGCTGCTTCACTGGCACAACCAGGTGTACCCCAGGTGAGGCGGGGCGCCGGCCCCCGGGGCGCGCAGATCCCTCCTCCTCCCCGCCCCCTCGCCGACGCACGCCCCCCCCCCCAGCCCTGACCGCTCCAGATCCTTAGGACCTTGGAACGGCCCACTCTGCCATCCTACAGTCGTAGAACCCTTGACCCTTCCAGCCCGCGGCCCCGGTGCCGCTCACGATCGGAGCGCTTTCCGCTCTTCCCGCGCTAGAACCCGCGCAACAGAGGCCCTTCCGGTTGTGAAACTTCAGCACCCCAGCCAGGGACCTCAGCGTCCCCACACTTCCACCCTCGGGATCGCAGCACCGCTCACCCCGCCGGTCCTAATCTAAGCATCGCGGATCGGTCTAGTCCTGGAAGCTTGGACTTGTATCTTTCCATTTAAAAAAAAAAAAATAGTATTTTTATTTTTGAGAGAGGCAGAGCACGGGCAGGGGAGGGGCAGAGAGAGAGGGAGACACAATCCGAAGCAGGCTCCAGGCTCTGCGCTGTCAGCACAGAGCCTGACGCGGGGCCTGAACTCACAAACCGTGACATCATGACCTGAGTTGAAGTCTGACACCTAACTGACTGACCCACCCAGGCGCCCCTCCATTCTTAAAATCTTAGCACCGTTGGCCCGTCCCGGCCTAGAACCTTCGCATCGCTGACAGTTAAACTCTCAGAATCTTCACAACACGGACCATATAGACCCCTGCAGTTCTAGAAGCTCAACACCTCCCGCTTTTCCAGACTTAGAATCCACTGGCACCATTGGCCCTTCCGGTTCTAAAATCGCAGCAACATTGACCGTTTCTTCCGCCTGCCCACCCTTCCTTCCTTCCTTCCTTTTAAAGACTCCGTTTTTTTAAAAAAAGGAATCTGTGTACCCAACGTGGGGCTCGAACCCACATCCCTGAGATCAAGACTGTGTGCTTCACCTACTAAGCCAGCCAAGCGCCCACCACTGACCATTTCAGTCCCAGAAGCCGGCATGGTGGACCCCTCCAGGCCTAGAACCTTAGCATCAATGACACTTATACGATTAGAATCTCAGTATTGTTCGCCCTTCTGGCCCTAGAATTTAGCACTGTTGCTCATTCTCATCTAGAATCTTTGTACCACTGACGCTTCCACTCGCGCCACCTTAACACCACTGTTCTTAAATACAAGGACCTTAGCACCAGCATCCCTAAAATCTTGGCATAGTTGACTCTTCGAATTCTAGAACCCTTACACTGCTCTCTCTTTAGATCCTAGGCCATTCAGTTGATTTGTCCAATCTCAGAACTTTAGCCTTGACACTTCCTGAAAAATTTTTTAAATATTTATTTGTTTTTGAGAGAAAGAGAGAGAGAGAGCAGGGGAGGGGCAGGGGGAGGGAGACACAGAATCCAAAACAGGCTCCAGGCTGTCAGCACAGAGCCCCCCGTGAGGCTTGAACTCACAAACTCCGAGATCATGACATGAGTCGAAATCGGTCGCTCAACTGATGGAGCCCCCCAGGCACCCCTACACTTTCAATCCTAGAACCTTAGCAGCAATGAGGCTTCAAATCCTAAACTGCAGCCACATCCACTCTTTGGATCCTAGAACCTTATACTGTGGATCCCTCCAAGGTTAGGAGGGTAATCTCTTGGTCCCTTGAATTCTATAACCACATGTTGGCAAGTTGGGGGGGGGGTCGTCCCTCCAACAAAATCCTCATGCAGCTACTAGAAGAAGGGGAAGGCGACAGGTACTGACCCCCACCCCCCAGTCCTGTTTGGGAATGTGTGTGAAGGATGGTCTCACACCACCCATGAGAGAGAGGCAGGACCGGGAGCCTGGAAAGCTTCCTGGGATGGCGGGACATGAGTTAAGTTGATTTGTAGGAAGGTGGTGCTTCTGGCTGAGAAAATGCCAAGAGCAAAAGCCTGGGGTGCGTGTGAGCGGTGGGGAGGAGCAGGGGTGTCACACGGGCCAGGCGTGTAAGAGTGTAGTGTCGGGGAGTGAGGGCTGGACCGGGGAGGCCTTCAAGGCCAGGTGAGGGGATGGGGAAGAGGAGTGGAGGCAGAAGGGAGCTTGTGTCTGTGAAGCTGATCACGGGCGGGCCTTTCGTGCCAGCCCATCAAGCCTGGACTTGACCCCTGCAAGTCTTGCCCGGATGCCATTCATCAGGGAGCTGACTCAGAGAGCTGGAGCCAGGGGAGCAACAATTCCAGAGACTTCCTTTGAGGGATGAGCAGAACTGGCCCCTAGAGAGGAAGGGAGTGGCCCAGGATCACAAACACAGAGGGTGTGAAGGAGTGGGGGTGGGGAGGGCTTCCGTTGCCCAGACCCCTCCTCTCACAGACCCCTCTGTCTCTTACCGACCCCCCCTCCCAGAGAGGTCCTAGGGCTGGTGGACCTGGTGGCCCTGGAGAACGGAGAGCTGGGGCCCCTTCTGTCCCCTGGCACCCTGCGGGGCTTGGAGGATGAGTGTGTCACCGACGTTAAGGTACTGGGGACTCGGGAGCCAGAGGTGCTCCGCAGAGAGGGAGGGGTTGCGCTGGGCTTAGGGGTCTCTCCTCTCCCCCTTTCGATACTTCTCTTTCCCTGCTGCCTTTGTGGATCCCTGCGTTCTGTCCAAAAGACACTGAAATGGAAGCCCATGCTGGTGTCTTCTGTCCGATGTTCAGTGTGGTAACCCATGCACCCAGCGGGGCTCGGAGCCGATCAGTAAAGGTTCCAGACATTCCGATACTTGAAGTCTTAGAGCAAGAGTCCGTCACAGAGGCTCAGCTCACAGTCCCAAAGACTCACAGAAGGAGGGCACGAAAGCCGTCTCTGCATACAAGTGGGGCAGATCGTAAACTTGGTTAATAACCGGCCGCGCAGAGGCGCCAGTGAGCACAACCGTGGTGCCATAGACACCAGCCTGGCCACGGGGCTGTCTCCCCCCTGAATGCCAGTCGTGCCTCAGCCACAGAAATCAGGATCGTAGCACCTTGAGAGCTCACAGTCTCAGCCTCGAACATGCCTAGGATCTCAGGTTCATTGAAGGGAACATTGGACCAGGGAATCAGAAATGTGGATACCCTTAGAATCCCAGACCCTAGGAATTCTCGAATCACAGAATCTGATTCTCTTGAACCAATTGGTTTTTTTAATGTTCATTTTTGAGAAAGAGAATGTGTGTGTGAGCAGGGGAAGGGCAGAGAGAGAGGGAGACACAGAATCTGAAGCTGGCTCCAGGCTCTGAGCTGTCAGCACAGAGCCCAACACGGGGCTTGAACCCATGATACCAGGAGCTCATGACCTGAGCTGAAGTCGGATGCTTCACTGACTGAGCCGCCTGGCTGCCCCTTGAACAGATTGTTTTTTCAGAACCTGGGGACCAGAGTCTTAGGATGGTCAAATAATGACAGCATAGACCCTCAAACTCTCTGGCCATCAGATGAAGGAAGCTTAAAGTTAAAGACTCTTAATATCAGGCTCCAAATCATAGACTCAGGGATCCAAGGGGCTGGGGAGGTTTTGTGGTCCAGCCTCCCTTCCTCGGCGCAACCTTCACACGCTCAGGGGTAGGACCCAGACCTGCTTGGGGCTACGGGGTCGGAAGCATGGAGGGGAGAGGTGGAGGGGGAGAGCCTTCCAGGCCCCCCTGACTCCTGCGTGTCCCCCCACCTCCCCGCTCCAGGCTCAGACCCGGGCAGCGCTGCTTCGCGTCCTGCAGGAGAATGAGGAGCACTGGGGGAGCACGGAGGATCGGCCCAGCAGCCTGGCGCAGGACGTGTGTGAGGTGGGGCGCGGGGAAGAGGAAGGAGAATCAGCCGGCCAGCGCCCTGGGCGGGGGGAGGGAGTAGGCCCTCCCCCCGCCTCACCCCTTCTCCTCTCCCTGGACGGTGTAGCTGCTGGAGGAGCACACGGAACGAGCACCCCGCATCAGCCAGGAGTTTGGGGAGCGGATGGCCCACTGCTGCCTGGGGGGGCTGGCAGAATTCCTGCAGAGGTATGGAGGGCTGGGGCAGGGCAGGGGCGTGGCGGGGGGGCGGAGGCATCAGTACCCAGGATCCCACCGAGAGAGGAGAGATGAAAGGCAATCCAGTATGGACGGGACGGGCCAAGCGCATCAGCTGAGGGCCCAGCAAGGGGACCCTCCTCCGGGGCCGCGGGCGCCAGCTGTCATGTGTCGTCCCTTTCTCCTCCAGCTTCCAGCAGCGGGTGGAGCGATTCCACGAGAATCCAGCGGTTCGGGAGCTGCTCCCAGAGACCTACGTCAGCAGGACCATCTCCCTGGTCAACTGCGGGCCCCCCCTGAGGTGAGAGCACCCAGCGTGTGGGGGAGAGGACCAGTGCCGGTGACAAGCTGAACTAGGGTGCGCAGGGCCTGCGTGGGGGCTTAGACGCATCGAACCTTGGGGGTCCCAGAAAGACTCTTAGCACCACAGAGCACTAGAATGGTGGGGTAATCAGAATTTTGGGGTGCTGTAATTCATAGGCACCTAGAAGAAAGGTTCAAACACTCTAAGAATTACAGATCTTTTTTTTTTTTGCCCTTTTATCTTACTTTCCTTTTTTTATTAACGTATTTTCAATGCATTTGCAAACTGGGTAATGCATTTCCATGCTTCATAATTCAAGGCACAAGAGGGTATACGGTGAAAAGCCTCACCCGTACACGCCGCCCACTTTCCTTGCTGCTAGAGTCTGGCATATCTTTGCAGGCATTTGACACATTTACCAGAAAATATGTGTAAATAAGTGTATGTGTGCATATCCATGCCTGTATTTCATATTCACATTCCATACATAAACAAGTCAATCTATTTCACTATGTGAATACATATTATCCCTTTTCCTTTAAAAACATTTTTTAGGGGTGCCTGGGCGGCTCAGTCGGTTGAGCTTCGGACTTCAGCTCAGGTCATGATCTCACGGTTCGTGGGTTCGAGCCCTGTGTTGGACTCTGTGCTGACAGCTCAGAGCCTGGAGTCTGTTTCCGATTCTGTGTCTCCCCCTCTCTCTCTGATTCTCCCCTGCTCGTACTGTCTCTCTCTCTCTCAGAAATTAAAAAAAAATGTTTTAAAACATTTTTTAATGTTTTATTTATTTCTCTCTGTCTCAAAAATAAATTACACATTAAATGTTTTAAAACTTTTAAAAAATGTTTTATTTATTTCTGAGAGACAGAGAAAGACAGCATGAGCAGGGGAGGGGCAGAGAGAGAGGGAGACCCAGAATCCGAAGCTGGCTCCAGGTTCTGAGCTGTCAGCACAGAGCCTGATGCGGGGCTTGAACTCACAAACTGTGAGACCATGACCTGAACTAAAGTTAGACACAACCAACTGAGCCACCTCGGCGCCCTTAAAGCTTTTATTTTCAATAATCTCTACACCCAATGTGGGGCTCGAACTCACAACCCTGAGATCAAGAACTTCATGCTCTACCGACTGAGCCACTCTGGCGCCCCTTATTCCTTTTCCTTAAAAAAAAGAAAAAAAAAAAGCTAGAATATTGAACACACTTCTGTGCGTTTCCCCATTAACAGCTTGGAGACCTTTCTGTGGGCACATGGAGTTCCCACTTTCCTTTGCAACATGTGACCTGCATTCCACGGTTTGCATATTCCGTTCATTTAATCTGTCCCCAGTGGAGAGCTGGCTCCACCCTTTGGCAAAGAAAAACGTGGCGTACCTGTCACTTCCCACAGACGTGGGGACTCTGAGGGACACGGTCCTAGAAAGGGCCCCACTGGAATTTGGGCAGAAAATGCGAGACTGCTCTCAGACCAGGTTACTGCCCTTTCAGGGACCGAGGGGGTCATAAATGAGAGAAAATGAGAATTGTAGAATCTTCGAATTCTAGATGTTTAGAATCACGTTCCAGAAAGCCTCCAATCCCCCAGCCTCCCAGACACCCCCTGATATTTCTCAGCTCCCACACTCTCCTCTGCTCTCCATCTGACCTGTCACCTCGGGGCTCACAAAACCGAGTCCGTCTGGGGAGGGGGATAGGTCCAGGCAGTCGAGCTGAATACGGGGGCTCCTCTGATCCCCTCAGGGCTCTGGCAGAGCGCCTGGCCCGGGTGGGGCCCCCCGAAAGCGAGCCAGCCCGGGAAGCAGCAGCCAGCGCTCTGGACCGCGTGACCCGGCTCTGCCACCGTGTCCTGGCTGACCTGCTTTTCCAAGAGCTGCAGGTGAGTGAGGGGGGGGGCCCGTGACAGGGGAGGGGACCCCCCCCCGCCCCAGAACCTGCAGTTCCTTTAAGCCCATGACTGAGTGTTCCGGAAGCAGGCGGGGGTGGGCAGTGATGGCCTGTTTGAGCCATTTTGGGGGGCAAAAAGGGGTGCAGGAAGGGAGGGGGCTACGGTCATGGGAAGGATGGAGAGTCACCAGCACAAGGGGTCTTGGGGATCAGGTGGAGCCCCTCCCCACTGAGGGCCCCCAAATCCCTGCCTGGCCTCCCCCAGACCCTGGAGCCCTATTTACCCCGCGCCCAGAGGGTGCTGGGGTCAGAGGTGGGTGAGAGGATGTGGGGCGGGTGGTGGGAGCCCCTGGGAATGAGACAGGGGCGCGTGTAGCCGTGGTTGTAATGCACCCTCAAGCCATGCTGGACATCCGATCGTGTCCCTCTTCTGCTCAGAACCCTCCGTGGCTCCCAGCTCACTCGGGGCGAGCCAAAGCCCTTGCTAGTTGGCCCCCAAGCCCCTGGGGGGTCTGACCCTTTCCTCTCCCTCTCTGACCTCACCTTCTCCCACATTCCTCCTCACTTACTCCACTCTGGCCTTACCAGCCCGCTTGCTGTGCCTTAAAAAGACACACACAGCCCAGCCTCGGAACCTTGCAAAGGTTCTTCACTCAGCAGCCACATTGCCTCCTCCCTCACTTCTGTCAAGCCTTGATTCAGATGTCACATTCTCAGTGACACTCAGTTGGTTAAGCGTCCAACTTCAGCTCAGGTCATGATCTCACAATTCGTGGGTTCGAGCCCCGTGTCGGGCTCTGTGTTGACAGCTCAGAGCCTGGAGTCTGTTTTGGATTCTGTGTCGCCCTCTCTCTCTGCCCCTTCCTTGCTCGCGCTGTCTCTCAAAAATAAATAAATGTAGAAATAAATAAGATAAAATAAAATAAAATAACATAAATAAAATAAAAGTTGAAGCTCCAGGGGCGCCTGGGTGGCTCAGTCACTTAAGTGTCTGACTTTGGCTCAGGTCATGATCTCGTGGTTTGTGGGTCTGAGCCCTGCATGGGGCTCTGTGCTGACTCAGAGCCTGGAGCCTGGAGCCTGCTTTGTATTCTCTCTCACTCTCTCTCTCTCTCTCTCTCTCTCTCCATGCTATGCTTCTCTCCAAGCACTTAGGGCCACCTGCTCCCTTACAGCCTTTGCTTTTTTTTTTCCCTCCCCAATCCAACTCCCCCCACTGGAATGTGAGCTTCTCAAGGGCAAGGTTGGTTGGAATGTTTCTAAAATAACTTTTATTATGGAAAATTTCAAACGTACACACAAAGTAGGCACAAGAACAGAATGACCCTCCTGTGGACAAGCAAGTATCAGCTCCCGGCCAATCTGGTTTCACCTTTCTCCTTCCCCCCGGCACCCCCCCTCCCCGCCATCCCTGACATCCTGTCTTCATCCATCAGCACTTCAGGCTGCATCTCCGAAAGATAAGAAATCCTTAAACAAACATAACCACAGTACCATTTTCATATTCAACCAAGGGAACAATGATTTCTTAATATCAAATATCAGATCAGCATTCCGGTTCCGCTGACCCGCTTACGATGATCGGATCCTCAGAGTTCTGTCTCATTCTGCACCATGTGTCCCCGGGCCCTCTGTGCCCAGCGACCCACCCCTGGCTGAGCCACCGGAAGGGCTCAGGGGATGTTTGTTGAATGATTAGGTGGACAAGGGTGTGCATGAAAGTGAGCGAGTGGAGGCATTACGGGGGTGCTGGGGAGGGGGCCTTTGTCCCAGGCCTGGCTGCACTGCTTCAGAGTAAGGGGTACCTTAGGCAAGCTGCCTGTTCTCTTGCGGTTTCTGTTTGCTCGTCTGGAAAATGGGCACAGGAATTCCAGGCTTCTCTGGTGGCTGGAAGGAAGCAAGAAGATTGTGGCTGTGTGGTGCTTAGCGCGGTCCCAGCCCGCAGCCCCTGGGTGATAGCTCCGTGAAAATACAGGGTTCATAGCAACAGGGACGATCAGTTTGTTTATTTTTTTTATTTACAAAATTTTTTTAATGTTTTATTTATTTCTGAGAGAGAGAGAGAGAGAGAGAGAGAGAGAGAGAGACAGCGTGAGCAGGGGAGAGTCAGTCAGAGAGAGAGGGAGACACAGAATCTGAAACAGGCTCCAGGCTCTGAGCTGTCAGCACAGAGCCTGACGCGGGGCTTGAACCCACGAACCATGAGACCATGACCTGAGCCAAAGTCAGACACTTAACCGACCTGAGCCACCCAGGCGCCCCAATTCACACTTGCTTTTCAACAAAAGGCCTCACTCCTGGGGGTTCACGCAGCCAGGCTACTGTTGGAAGTGGGTGTGGGGCAGAGTGGGTAGGACCTCCTTCAGACCCCATGGACACGGACCCCCGATGTCCCCGGGGACCTCAGTTCCCCAGGGTCCACCCAGCCCCGCGGTGTCTCCCCCTCCCTGCCCCCAGATCCATTTCTGGGATAGACCCGCTCCCCGTCCCACATCTTAGGTCACTTCCAGGTGCCTCCCTCCCCTCCCCCCTCACAGAAATTGTGCGAATCCTACTCTCTGGGTCCTGCTTTCCCCTCCTCACCGCTCTCATCCACTTCTTCCCTCTTTCTTCTCTTTCGAGTCCCCTCCACCCCATTTCTACTTCAGCCTTGCGCCTCCCATCAAGATCTCGGGAAAGCACAAGCCTGACCCTCTCTTTCTGCTCAGAATCTACCATGGCTCCCCAGTGCCCTCAGGAGGAAGGTGGGGCTCCTCACAGGCCTGGGTGCTCCGGCCCCACTCACCCGATTAGCCCCATTCCCCCCCCCCCATCTCCCTGGCAGCTGCTCTAACTTCGAGGGTCTGTGGACTCCACCAGTCACACAGGACCCCCTTGCTTAGAAGAGCCCGAGCTTGGTTTGCTGCTCTGCTGTCGCTGTCTCGAAGTTCTTTATAATTTTGAATGCAGGCCTTCCCTTTTCATTTTGCACCGGGCCCCTAACTTATATAGATCTTGCCCGCCTCAGGAACCTTCTTTCGGATCCACTGACCCAAAGGCGCGTTTGGAATCTGAGCCGCCTTCACACTGGCTCCTCCTACTGACTGAGCCACTCCCTGTCCCACCCCTCACCTGGCTAACTAGGACCAGTCTCTGTCCCAAGCTCTGGAGTCCCCTCCTCCAGGAAGCCCTCCTTGACTCTCTCTCCGCTGACTCAAGCATCCTCTCTGGGCTTCCTAAACTCCTGGGTTCCCGCCCTCCAGTCCTGACCACTCTGGGCCCAGCCCTGGGGACGGTCTGTCTCCCTCCCTGGACCGTGAGCCCAGGGGAGGGCGCCCCCTACGAACCGGTTCAGCTCCCATCTGTTGAATTGGTCAGTGAAGAAAGAGGGGGGAAGGGAGGAGAGCTAAAGCCGATGCCCCCATTCCGTCGCACCCAGCCCCACTTCAACAAGCTGATGCGCAGGAAGTGGCTGAACAGCCCGGAGGCCCTGGATGGCATCGTGGGCACGCTGGGCGCTCAGGCCCTGGCACTGCGGAGGATGCAGGATGAGCCTTACCAGGTGCGCGGGCTGGGCTGGTCGGGGGAGGGGTGGGGGAGCGGAGCTCTCCGCTGGGGGGACCCCTTCAAGGTGCAGAGCAGCCGTCTCAGGGTGAGACAGGCGGCGCTCTGCGCGGGGTCTGTGGGGTGGGGTGCGCACAGGGTGGGGGCCTCTGGGATGTGGAGCTCCCTGGGGGCTGGGTGGGGCACCCTTTGCGCGCCGGCAGGGGGTGTCGGCGAGCTGATTCGGGAGCAGGGGAGGGTATCCTCGAGCAGGACTTGGGGTCACCCGTTGGGAGTTGGAAGGGCTGCTCCGGATGCGGCGCGGGAGGGGGGCGCAAAGAGGGGGTCTGGTGCCCTGCGGGCGCCTGGAGTGCGCGCGGGCGGGTGGAGAACGGGGAGGGGTGGGAAGGGGTCCCCGGCGGCTCACAAGCCCTCGCTTCGCCCCGGGTCCCCAGGCGCTGGTGGCCGAGCTGCACCGGCGGGCGCTGGTGGAGTACGTGCGGCCCCTGCTCCGCGGACGCCTGCGCTGTCGCTCCGCGCGGACCCGCAGCCGCGTGGCCGGGAGGCTCCGGGAGGACGCGGCTCAGCTGCAGAGGCTCTTCAGGCGGCTGGTCAGTGCGGGTCCCGGGGGTGGGCGTGGGGGGCTCCGAAACCCCGGCAGACCTGGCCTCTCGCGAGCATAAGGCCGTCACCCAACTTTCAGCCAACAGTGGACACTTCGATCCTTGTCCTCCGCGCGCGTAAAAACCGGCTTTCTCACGGTGCGGGCTCGCCTTCCGGGCGCAAGCCGGAATCCGGTTCCCTCCGCGTGGTTGTGGGGACCAGATCACTCAAGTCCTGTTACGGACCCCACCTGGCGCAGAGCTGCCACTCCCTAAACATTAGCGATAATCGCGAGCACGGAGAGAGGCTAAGTGCATTAGAAACGCAGAATCGTGGAGTTACCAAAGCCAAGAACTTCAAATTCAAGAACTTCAAATTACCAACTCTTGTCTGTACCTTGTTGCAATTAGCAAGAGCTCAGCTGCCGCGGCGGGAGCGCCGGGGGGGTGGGGTGGGGGGGGCGGGGCGCGCATCTTTTTTTTTTTTTTTTGAGAACGCAGAGACCCCTCCCCTGGGCGCGCCCTCCACTTTCCCCTAAGGGTAACATTTTGCAAAATCCTAGGACTAGGTGTTGAGGAGCGTCCCCGAGCCCCCCGATTATCTGCAAAACGATGTATTATGGATTTTTCTTCCAATTTCCAAAGCTGCCAGATAACCTGAGATCACAGTCCGCGCCCCCCCCGCCCATGCCCGGCTTCACAGACGCGAAGATGGAGGCCAGGAGGGGTGCGGTTTCCGGGGAGGGGGACCTGGGGCCGGAGCGTGAGCCTGGGGCCTATCCCTTTGCAGGAGTCCCAGGCCTCGTGGCTGGACGCCGTGGTCCCCCATTTGGCCGAAGTCCTGCAGCTGGAAGACACGCCCAGCATCCAGGTGGAGGTGGGGGTGCTGGTGCGGGACTACCCGGACATCAGGTGAGAGCCCCCCACCCCTGCGCCCGCCTGGCGCGTTTGCGCGCGCGCCGCCGCCAGGCCGAGGACTCTCCGGGCCTTGGCATCCGTCCCCGCGTTTCCTGTTCTTGGGGCGGCGAGCGTGTCTGACGGCCGTTTCCTGCTGGAACCGGGGCATTATTAATACGATTTCCCTCCTTCTCCTGCCGCCGCCGCCGCCGCCAGGGCTCGCAAACAAACAGGCAGTCACAGGAAGCCCAGGGCAGGGGGGCGCGGGGCCGCCGGCGGCAGGAAGGGCCGGCCCAGCCAGCCCGGGAGCCGCGGGGGACACGGGGACGCGCACGGGCGCGCGCGCGCGCGCGCACCGGGACCCCGGCAGGAGCCGCTCAGATCCTCGTGGACCGTTTCCGTTCTGGGTGACCCTCTCTGAGCCTCGGCTTCCTCACCACGTCCTTGGGGGGTAATGGGGCCCTTTTCAGAGGATTTGGGGTTGAGGGGGATTCTTCGTCATCAATCAATCTTCCTCCCCCTCGTCATCCGCGGTGACGGCACTGCCAATCCCGATTCTTATTTATCGAGTCCTAATGTCAGACCTAAGAAAGCACGTGACACACCCAGTCCATAAGTAAGGCCTATAATAAAAGTTATTTTAGAAAATCATATGCATGGGGCGCCTGGGAGGCTCAGTCGGTTGAGCGTCCGACTTCGGCTCAGGTCATGATCTCACGGTTCGTGGGTTCGAGCCTCGTGTCGGGCTCTGTCCTGACAGCTCGCTCGGAGCCTGGAGCCTGTTTCTGGTTCTGTGTCTCCCTTTCTCTCTGACCCTCCTCTGTTCATGCTGTCTTTCTCTCTCTCTCTCTCAGAAATGAATAAAACATTTTAAAAAATTATAAGAAAGAAAGGAAGAAAATCATATGCAAGTGGAAGGCAGCCCGGTTCTAAATGCTTGGCCTCATCTGAGGCCGTCAGGGCTTGGGGAGGGGACCCTAAATGCCACAGCTAGCAAAGCTGGGGATTTGAACCCCAGGCAGAGCGTGAGGACAGTTCTGGCTCTGGGCTGTGGGGAAGGGAAGACGCAGCAGCTCCGTCCAAGGGGCTAGCGCGGAGGCCCCGGAGCTCTGTTTTGCAACGAAGGTTCTGGAAATTACTGTTAGGTTCAGGGTCTCGCGTCGGCGTCTCGTGATGGTTCCTAGCTTTGGATATTGGGCTCTGGAACTGTGTGGTGGAGCAGCTTCCAGACCTGGCCGGTGGGGGTGGGGCGAGGTGAGGGGGTGAGCACTTCCGGGTTGCATGTGAGAGATGGGGGTGGCGATGGGGCTGCTGGGGGGGGGTGCTGGGAGGGGGCCGGTAAGGGGGGAGGGACCTGGAGGGTGGAAAGGGGGCGGGGTCCCAGAGCGAAGATGAGGTTCCCAGGCGGGCCCGTGTGCGTGTGCGTCGGGCACCGAGAGCCCCATGCACGCGTCCCTTCCTCTGTCCCCAGGCGGAAGCACGTGGCGGCCCTCCTCGACATCCGCGGCCTGCACAACGCCGCCGCCCGCCAGGAGATCCTGGACGTGGCCCGGGACCTGGAACTGTCTGAGGGGGGAGCCCTGGCCCCCCCTCGGGACCGCGCCTTCTTCTCAGACATCTCCGTGCCCCGCCCACCCTTCTGCCTCAGCCTCCCTCTCTTCGTGGGCCGCCTTCCCCTCTCCCGGCTGGCGCGGCCCGGCCTGGCCTGTCTGCCCCGGCTGCGGCCTCCGTCTCTCTCACGGCCCCCCTCCCAACGCTGAGACTCTTCCAGCCCCCCCCCCACCTCGGTGCCCCCCCATCTTTGCTGCTGACAAACCATTCTCCTGTACGGCCCCCTCTTGACTCCCTGCCTGAGAACACAGACCACCTAGGATGGAAAGATCTTCCGGAACCTTCTGGCTTCCCCCCCCACCCCCGCCACGCTCCCTGTATGGAAGAGAAAGGGCCGGAAGGATCAAGGACTCTGCCAAGGCCACCAAGCTCATGCTCAACACCAGCGCCCAGCCCAGCGGGCGGGGGTGGCGTTTTGGAAGGCTCTAGAGAAGTATCCCAGCCCCACCCCCCCCTTTTCCCCCTCACCTCAAGGTCTGGCCCCTGTCCAACGTATTAAGGAATGTACGATACTTAGAATAAAGAGGTTTCTATTTAACACAAGGAAGGGCTGAGTCCCCAGCGCGTGGGGGAGGAAAGACCCGGGGCAGGGCCCGGGGCCAAGGGCTTCTCACGGCCAAGGCCGGGCTGGGGTCCAGCTGCTGGGCAGGGCAGCCGAGGCTGCGGGAGGCACCGAACCCCGAGTGCCCGGGCCGCGTGACTCCCCGGCAGGCCCTCGGGTGCCCTCAGCCGGGGTCCCTCATGTTGTCGGTCTGACCCGCCTCTCCTTCATCCCTGGGGCTGGTGGCTCCTGTCGGTGGCACACCCCACCCCCCCTCCGTCCATCCTTCGCCCGGAATCTATGTCAAGAGAGGAAGGAGGTTGGGGGCAGGGCCAGGGCGCCCTCCTGGGTTGATGCAGGAAAATCTTAGGGTGGGAAACATTCCAGCCGCTTGCCCCCAGCCCCTCCGGATCCCGGTCCCCACCGAGACCTCAAGGTCACCTCCCTGCTGACCCCTGGCCCTCCGGCCTGGTTGGACAGCCTATGATGGATGCTTCCTGGTGTGTGTGTGTATACGTGTGTGTTTGTGTGCTTTTTTTTTCTTCTTTTTTTTTTTCCTGAGAAGTGGGAAGGAGGAGGCAGCCAGGGGTCAGCTTTGGGGCTGGGGTAGGAACCTCACCCACTCAGGAAGGTGGGGACTCGAGACCCTTGGAGCGTCAGGGCTGTGTGACCTTGGGCAGGAAGCTGTCCCTCTCTGGGGAAATGCTTAACCTCTCTTCGCCCAGGACGAGGTGAGACGTCCAGGGGCTGAACCCGCCTCACTCCCCCTCCTGAGAGGACCCCTTCCATGCACAGGGAGAGGAGCGGAGGGATTAACCACAGGTTGCAGCGTTTAGGCGTGTTCGCGAAGGCTGTTTTCACCTCGGTGACACAGTGTTCTTTCCAGACTTGGGTTCCCCACCTAAAAACAGCTTTATGGAGGGGCGCCTGGGTGGCTCAGTCGGTTGAGCAGCCAACTTCTGCTCAGGTCATGATCTCACGGTTCGTGGGTTCGAGCCCCGCATCGGGCTCTGTGCTGACAGCTCAGAGCCTGGAGCCTGCTTCAGATTCTGTGTCTCCCTCTTTCTCTGCCCCTCCCCTGCTCTCACTTTCTCTCTCAAAAATAAATAAACATTAAAAAAATTTAAAAACCCAGCGTTATGGAAATAGGATTTTCACACCAGACAATTCATCCATTTAAAGTGTTCGATTCAGGGGCATGACTTCAGATCAGGTAACGATCTCAGGGTTCGTGAGTTTGACACCCTGTGACGGGCTCTGTGCTGACAGCTCAGAGCCTGGAGCCTGCTTCAGATTCTGTGTCTCCCTCTCTATCTGCCCCTCCCCTGCTCATGATCTCTTCCCCACCCCTCAGAAATAAACATTAAACACAAACTTTTTAAAAAAAATTTTAAATCTTCAAGAAACTGAAGGCAAAAAAGACGTTTCTTGACATTACAAAGCTTACAGAATTTATCACCAGCGGACCGCACAACAGGAAATGTTACAGAAAAGCCCTGCAGGCAGAAGGAAAAAGGTTCCTGATAGAAACCTGTATCTATGCAAAGGAATGAGGGGCACCAGAAGTGGGAACTATTTAGTAACTAAGGCATGGTGGGTAAACATACAAGCTATTTTCTTATTATTCAAATCTCTTTAGATGACAACCGATTGGGAGCACCTGGGTGGCTCAGTCAGTTAAGCGTCCTGCTCTTGATTTTGGCTCAGGTCATGATCTCACAGTTTCGTGAGTTCGAGCCCCGAGTGGGGCTCTGTGCTGACGGTGTGTGGAGCCTGCCTGGGATTCCCCCTCGCCTTCCCCTACTTGCGCTCACTTTGTCTCTGACAAAAATAAGGAAACATAGAAAAAAGGCAATTGATTGTTTAAGCAAAATTAATTACACTGTTATTGTGCAGTGTGCAACATATGAAACGGTACAATGCATGACAACACACAAACATCAGGTGGGCAGACGTGCAAGTGTCCTGTTACAAGGTTCTGGTTCTTAGTGGGTCACGTGAACAGTGTCTGTGATAAGTTAACATTAGAACATAAACTCCAAAGCAAACACTAAAAGAACAAAGCAGAGTTATAGCTAATAAACCTAGAAAGAAGAGAAAATGGAATCATAAAAAAAAAACAAAACACTGAAAAAACACTCCGTCCAAAGAAAGGTGGAAACAGGGCTTACCAGTTCATTTTATGGGACCAGGAGACCCCTAAAATCAAAATCAGACAAAAGCGTGACAAGAAGGGTAGAGGGAACATTCCTCATGAACACAGATGTGAAAACCCTCAACAAAATATTAACAAACCTACGACAGCAACATATAAAAAGGAAAATAGCTCATGACCACTGAGGTTTATTCTAGAATGCAAAGTGGACTTAACCGTGACGATCTATCAATGAAATTAGCCACATTAACAGAATTTTGGAGAGAAAACCACATCATATCAATAAATGGCGATAATGTGACATAATCCAACACACACTCATAGCTAAAATTCCCAGCAAACTAGAAACAGAATGAAACGTCCTTAACTTAAAAAAAAATTTTTTTTTAATTTATTTAAGTAATCTCTACAGGGGCTCCTGGGTGGCTCAGTCGCTTAAGCAATGGACTTCGGCTCAAGTCACGATCTCACAGTTCATGAGTTCGAACCACAAGTCGTGTTCTGTGCTGACAGCTCAGAGCCTGGAGCCTGCTTTGGATTCTGTGTCTCCCTCTCTCTCTGTCCCTCCCCTGCTCACTCTGTCTCTCTCTCTCTCAGAAATAAATAAAACATTAAAAAAAAGATAAGAGGGTCTATTGTCACTTTTATTAAATATTGTAATACAGATCCTGACCAGGGCAATAAGGCAGGAAAAAGGAAATAAAAGGGAACAGATTGGAAAACAAGTAAAATTCCATTTGTGGATGACATGATTATGTAGATAGAAAATCCTGACTGTTCCAGAAAAAAAAACAAAAACAAAACAAAAACATGCCAGCATTAATAATTGATTTCAACACAGTGGCAAGATACGAGGTAAACATAATAAATTAATTGCCATTCTAGATGCTTCTAACAAATAATTAGAAAACAATACTTAAAAATGTCATTTATGGCAATAACTTATATTTTAAAAATATCATTTATGACCGGATCGCAAAATTAAAAATGCTTATATCTAAAGGTAACAAAAATATGGGCCGGATGTGAGCCCTGAAAACTATAAAATATTAATGAAAGAATATAATGAAAACCTAAATGAATGGAGAGATAGACTATATTCATGAATTGCAAAGATGTCAACTGTCCTCAAGTTTACCTATAGATTCAATGGGATCCCAATAAAAATCCCAACTATCTTTTTTATTTTGTAGAAATTGACACATGTAGAATTCTTTAAATTCACACGGAAACACAAAGGCTCAAGAATGGCTAAGACAACTTTGAAAAACAACAACGTGGCAAAGCTAACACTCTCTGATTTCAAGATTTATTACGCAACTACTGTAATCAAAGCGTGTGTTATTGGCATAAAGACAGAAAAAAAAAAAAGAAGATCTATGATACAGAACAAAGGTCTAGAAATGAATCCAATCAAAGTCCCAGCAATCCCTTCTTTGAGAAAATGACAAACTGACTCTATAGTTTATATAGAAATTCAAGGGCTTAAAATACTTGAGGGAGGCACCTGGCTGGCTTGGCTGGTAGAGCATGAGGCTCTTGATCTCAGGGCTGTAGGTTTGAGCCCCATGTTGGGTATAGAGATTATTTTTATTTTTAATTTTTTTAATTTTTGTTTTTTAAATGTTTTATTTATTTTTGAGAGAGAGAGAGAGACAAAGCATGAGCAGGGGAGGGTTAGAGAGAGAGGGAGACACAGAATCCAAAGCAGGCTCCAGGCTCTGAGCTATTTGTCAGCACAGAGCCCGACGCGGGGCTCGAACCCACGAGTCGCGAGATCACGACCTGAGCCAAGGTCGGACGTTTAACAAACTGAGCCACCCAGGCGTCCCTAGAGATTATTTTTAAAAATAAATAAATAAGAGCTTAAGAAATATCAGAGATGGAGAGATTTACTACCTGATTTCCAGACTTTCTTTTTTATTTTAATGTTTATTTATTTATTTTGAGAGACAGATCAGGAGCAGAGGAAAGGCTGGGGGAGGGAAGAGAGAGAGAGAGAGAGAGAGAGAGAGAGAGAGAGAGAATCCCAAGCAGGATCTGTGCTGTCAGTGCAGAGACCCGCATGGGGTTCGATCTCATGAAAGGGGAGATCACGACCTAAGCCGAAACCAGGAGCCGGACACTTAACTGACTGAGCCCCCCAGGCGCCCCCAAGACTTTCTATAAAGCTACACTATTCAAGACAATGTAGTATTGGTGTAAGGATATATATCACACAAACAGAATAAAAAGCCCCCAAACAGACCAAAGTTGATTTTCTACAACCATGTCAGTATAATTTCTGGGAGGAAAAAGTCTTCCCAATAAATGGTCCTGGATATGTGCATGAACAAAACTGAACCTAGCTTACACAGCACATGGGAATTAACTCAAACGAACCATAGACCTAAGTATAAAGGCTAAAACTATAAAATTACTAGAAGAAAACATAGTGAAAATTAAGCAAAGATATTTTTTCATTTAAAAAAATGTTTATTTTTGAGAGAGAGAGAGAGAGTATGGGAAGGGCAGAGAGAGAGGGAGACACAGAATCGGAAGCAGGCTCCAAGCTCCGAGCTGTCAGCACAGAGCCCGATGTGGGGCTCGAACCCACGATCTGTGAGATCATGACCTGAGCCTCGAATCCCTGAGCTGTGAGATCATGACCTGAGCCAAAGTCTGACTGAACCACCCAGGCGCCCCCACCAAAAAATCCAACTTCCAAATGAGTAAAAGCCTTGATTAACACATCCAGAAAGAAAATACATGAATGGCCAAGAAACACACAAAGATATCCAACATCTACATACAGTCAACAGAGAAATACAAATTAATACCGCAAAGACACACACCTTCTAGGAAGGC